CGAGAGGATTAGAATCGAGTGATTAGATACAAGAATACTTCTACAGCCTCGTTGACCATAAGTGACCGATAACGTAGGGCAGTACTGATTCACGCCACTTAACTTATAAATCACTTGCCAAAACTGGAAGTTAAAATAAGACATTTTAAAAACAATGTCTTATTTACATATAACATTTTATTACGTATGGTTACTTGATATAAGTAGATATATCTTTGTGATATGCATGGCCCTATAAAACTGAAAATTGATTTCCAAACGTCGGTGTTACGTTAAATTTATTAGAATTTCCTATATGTCCACTGAACAAACACTAACTAAGTAAACTAGGAAGCAAACCTAAGATATGGGCGTCATCGCTGATAACAGGGATTTGTTAATTTTTTTCCGAGGTTTTTGAGAACATTTCGTAACCATTTCTCACGGTTGAGTTATTTGTTGAAATAGTTGTACGTTTGGATTAATAATCATTGTTGTCGAATGCCAATGAAAATATAAATTCAGTCAACAACTTTTTTTGTTAGAATTGCATATTTCATGTAGCAATCCATTTTTGAGAGGAACAACCTATAGTGAATTTTGAAGGCTTGAAAAAAATTACTTTCGGTTAAAACTGATAAAAGAAACACTATTTCAAACCACCCAACATAAGTCATGTTGTTTACAAATCCCAGTCAATCAAAGTCGATTAATGATGTTAAATTAAATGAAAATTAGGATAATTTCAGATTTGGACTGGATTTTCTAAATTAAGCCTGGTTACAATGCTGAAATGCAGTTTTTTACAGTTCATTTGTGAGTATGAAGGAAATAAGGAGAGTTTAGAATTCGCATTTCTAATAATTATAATAATCCAGTGTATCAGTATATGAGGTTCGTAAACAACGACCAATTCCCGACAACGTAAAACTCGTGTAAGCAACTCTGAGGACACATTTTACGACTTCAGCCACACCCAGCATTAAATGATCGTCATTCGATATCGCCCGCCTCACGCAACTTCATTAAAAACGTGACGTTTACCTACTTTTCGGTTGCCATATTTCAACCGCAAATAAATTTAGTGTACTAATTTAGTAAGTGCCGCGTTTCGTACAGAAGCAACATAAATCAAACACTGACCATGTATGCAGTTTGGTCGCAACCTACAAATACACTACCAAAAATTACTTCATGGTTTTCATTTGCATAAATTTTCGAGATATACGCAATAATAATAGCGAATATCTGCGTCGGGGACAATTTCGAAGTCATTATTCATACGTCATATTTTTAGGTGGGTACAAATAAATCTGACAAGGGCAGTTAATCATTCGGAGTTCTGCAAATAAATATAATTCTTGGATTTACATCTCAATAAACACTGTTACAACAACGCAGCGCAACTCAGTGAAATCACTAGCATTTCAGTGTAACGAAATGCGGAAAATAGTACCATAATAGATAAAGAGGGCAGCACATTTGCGGAATTTTACTGGAAATCTATTGCCGACATTGCAACACTTACTGCAATGAATTTAATACATTCAAAAAAGAGTTTTGAATGTGAATCGTCAACATTTTGAGCTGTATAAATAAATCTGGTTTTCTCAACAGAAAACATAATTTAATTAACTCATGGAATTCATATCTTTGATTAATCAAAAATGATTAATTAAAATCGACAATATTAGGTTTGCCATTCCATAATTTAATACGCCGTAACTGTTATATTTAACTCCATTCGGAGGAGTACTTTTAAAATCTCAAAAAATTTATAAAATAGACAACGGACACTCCTTTTTAGTATTTCTGTATACATAAGAACAGAATTTATTTAAAATGGCGTTTTAGGCGCACGATTATCTAAATAAATACTATATTATGTTTGTTGGAAGTACATGTATGCACCACATTGCGAAATCTTAAACTACTCTTTTTCGTAAATTTGTTGAAAAGTAAGATAAAATAACTGTTTCTAACAATATTATGGGGTTAGGTTGATACGACCAATCAATATTCAGTGACACAAGTACCAAAAACAGTTTCCCCTTTCGTGGATTCGGTCTATTTAGTTCGAGTTTAAGTTTCAATACTGACAGATGGTAGCGGTTTGTCACTTGCCAGACACTCAATACACTGTTTCCTGCATGTAACATGCGTTCACACCTGGCATCTCACAAGTTGCAATTCCAAGGTCATTTTGAGGTTTTATGGACGGATGATATTTCCTTGCAATGTAAATAGAATGAGGAGCCTATTTCGTTTACTGTACACTATTAAAAACGAAGTTGAATAAGTGATATTTTCTGTTATTTAGTAGTCGCGGGACAATTTTGAGATAGTGCGTGCACATGTGATGCGATCTCGATAGTGAAATAAACAAAATGTCGAAAAAGTGTATATCTTTAAAATTTCTCTAAAAATGATCGTATTCATACCGTTTCTACAATCCAAGTGCTATCCTAACCTAACAGTGTTGTTTTGATTGCATGCATATTTTTAATAAAATAGTATTTTATATAAATATGAGGTGTAATGAACTCACTTCACACCCACTTTTCCCTTTCTAATTTATGGCTAGTTTCCATTCATATGAATCGATACAAAATTATACTTTTTTATTAATTTCCGAACTAAAGATACAAATTCTTAACCTCATTTCCTATATACGTCAGAGGAAGAGGCGAAGATGACCATAAACCACTGACTGATTATGAAAACGCAAATGTGCAAATTGTGTATATTTAACGACTGCGTGATTCGTGTTTATTTCGTTGCGAATGTTTGAATATACGGACAACAGAAACAGGCATTCACCAATTCCCTTCCCATCGATTCAATCTTGAGAATAACTTTTTCTATACTGTCATCCTATACAAACAATTTATAATTGGGTTTATCCAAGTGTAAGGTAAAGAAGAAATTCGACTAACAAGGCATTTTATCAAACCTATTATAAAAGATTGAAATTTAATGATTATTTGGAATGTGTCGAGGCATAAATGACAAATAATTGGTAGAGTGACAAACCATGATTAAACCAGAATTAGTTGGAATGTGTGTACACCATTTTATCATATATTTAATTGATTTATAGTGTTTACCTGTTCGAAACGCATTAAAACGTTTGATTTGAAACTAAATACATATTCTAACACAATATTTGTTTATTTTGTGACATATCAACAATGGGTATCTTTATCTTCAATATTATGAAACAGTATTATCCATTTGAAGGAACATGATTTTCAGACGATAAATTCATCAATTTTCCACAACTTTACGGAAACAAGCACTTTATTAACACGTGTGCTGATTTTCTACCGCTGCTTTAGCACCAAAATTTATAATTCTGAATTTCTAAAAATATATTACAAACAAAATTAAAGATTCAACACAATTAAAGTATTTTCGAAAAATCTAATAAATATGACGAAACAATAGTGTTTTGGAACTTGTGCGATAAAATCTAAAAATTTCAACAATCAGCCATTGACATCATCATACACATACACACACACACACATGCTTTATTTATACCATAGCAATTATAAACAAAGGAACTAAAGTTCTCATATGAATAAAAATAAACATCCATTAAAATACCCAGCTTGAAAAATCACTAATTTTGTCTCAAAAAACAATCTACCAAGTTCCTATCAATCGAACGACACAATTTTCGTAAAATTTTGCGTGCTTTCACATGAAGATGGCTTCAGCTACCCGAAATAAGGAGGTTGCTAAGATGGCCTATAGACATGCAAGATATATAGGTACAGCAGGCTACATTTTTAACAAAGGCTTCAAGGTCTTAAATTTAAAATTACTTTCAACTTCATTATAATAACTTTCATGTGTGCTTAGATGTTGGCATATAGGGTGGAGCCCAATATGGTGACATGACACGGGCTAAACCCCAAACTTCCATAAAATGAACGCTAAAGCACGTGCGGTGTTACTGGGCCTTGATAAATTATCATTATTGTTAATCAAGTATTATCGAATGACTTCAGGAGTGCATTTTTTAGATTTATGGTAACATAAGCTTTGTACTTCATAGTGCAAGCAGTATATAGGTCTTCAAATTAAAAAAAGAAAATGGAATAAATCTTCATACTTTCAAAAATATTAGATCTCCTTATATACGATTCAATCATGTCACATTTGAAACTGCATCACTATGTGTGGAGCTCGGTAACCTCACACTGAATGTAGATGAATAAATAAACAAACATCCCTACGTGAGAATCGAGTGGTGGTATTGAACTATGCTTTGCACACAATTTAAAAAGTATGATGGGCTTATTGACACCGCAGGTGCAAGTAGAAATAATAGTCTACATATTTGTCACATTGATGATAGATTATTTATTCGGCCTGAAGTTAATTTAAACAGAGATAAACTAAGGTAAAGACCGCTATTTAAATCCTATAAGTACATCACGAATTTTGTTATTAAGCTGGACTTTGATGACAACAAATTATACTATAAAAAGCTAACATTTTTGCTTCATCTATCCGCTTAAATAATATTTCCGTACATTTTTAACGTCTTAGTCGTGGGAAAATCGCTAAATCGTCGCATAAAACCTTTAATCGAAATAGTATGTTCTTGGTTTTGTATACGTCCTGTGTATGTTTCCCTTTTCAATAATGGGACGTGAAAAGTACTTCATGAAACCAAAATTATGTTTATATTTTGACATTGAGCCCTTTTGACAGAGTGTTTTAAGCGATGAAAGGATTTTGTATTAAAAAAATGTTGTATGTGTTTACGGCATTTTCTGTGTCAAATATGTCGTTTTAGTCGACGGAAATAGTTTGCTCGTACATAAAATGGTATCCCCCAACTATGGCCTTAATTGATTGTGTTTAGTGAATCAACATTTTCTACGTGTGCTCAAATGGCGGCATCGTCCTTTCATGTTTTAAAAATGTTGGTTTTGGGGTTTGAAAACATGTGTGATTATGTGAAAACAAGATATCATGAATCTTGACATAATAATAAACACACTTACCACATTGAAAATCTTGCTGCTTTCCCGTCCAATATGGAATGCTGTGGTGATAAAAATGTTTTCTTCGTTTACGTCTGTAACGCCGGGTACGGCACTTTCGGGTTTTACGCTTTCCAGCGATAACGAACCCAGATGCGCAACTTAGAGAGCATTTTGAGCCAACTTTTCTTCCATTTGAACAACGAACAATGTTCCGCGTTGAAACAGGTAAAGCGGGGCAATACTGGGTGGATTTTGGCCCATATTTCGACGTTTTTGACCCGGCAATTCGCATTTTTGGTATCCGATGTCCACGAGTAATCCGCTCGCCCATTGTATTTTCGGAAAGCTCGTTCGGAATCGATCGTTTCGTTATCTCATGTGGCAATTTCCCTTGTAGATTTTTAGGTCGACCACGTGACCTCGACATTTTATGATTGAGGGCCACTTCCGGTGTATGCTGTAGCCAAATATTTTCGTACCGTTCTTTACTCTGCTTACGTACTGCGTTTGACGAAAAGGATTTTTCGCTCTTCACAATTCCAAAAGGCCGTGAAATCGCCGGCTCCACTTCAACTCGTTTAGGTTTGGGATTGGAATAGTGTTGAATAGATGGAAAGTTTTTCATTTCACGGAATATTAACGTGGAATCGGGGCCTTGATGAAAGTCCTTGAAGTGGTCAATTTGTGGTGATAAAGCGACGTTAGACGCGCGGTCGCTACCTTTGAAGTCAAGCGCAGTTTGGCTAAAATTACCAGTAACCACAAATGTTGCAGATTTGCTTGCTTTCGGTAATATTACATTGTCATATAAATGTATTTTTTGTTCCTCGAATGCATAACATGTCCATACTCCTGTCGTTATCAAAAATATTACGCACATCCAAATACAAACTAGTGCCGGTATCGCAGAGCTGGCAGCCATCTTTTGTAATAGTCCTTTACATACGGTAGATTTTCCAAACGATTAATCTCAGCGTGAGGTATCTTTCAACACTGGAGGTTATACGTAAATCCCTTTCCTTCAAGAGCAGAACTCGTCATACAGCAAGATATTTACCTAATGCTGTCAACACAAAGGCAAACATTACAGCGGTTCGCCGCGAAGTGTGTACCCAACTTAACACTACAATTTAGAACTGACAATCTAACTTTCAGCGGGCGGGAACACCATACTGCGATGCACGCTGAATATATCTGACCACGCGCGATACAATTTCTTGATTTATCAAAGCCACAAGATACAACAGATCCTTTTGTTACCTCACACAATAACTGCATCGATGTTTGCCGCCATGTCAGGCCCGCCTTCATTTATTCGCCGCGGAACGCGGTGTCGGTTCAGGGACCTCGACGGCTGACTAACCGGCTTCCACATGTTTTGTTACAATTTGTATTTCTGTCGTATGACTTAATCCTGTCATGTCTTGATTAGTCTACAAAGTATAATACTTTACGTCTTCTTGTACCTGCTTGATAATTACGTCTGACTATTTTCCGGAGTAAAATTTTGTCTCATTATCGGTCGGTCCCTCGTTTTTATTGTGTGTTTTACGCGCGGTATTCCGACAGCAACTCAGCCACGCGTTGCAGCCGCACAAACAAAATATTTTAGGGTATATGCTCAATAATAACATAACGATAGCCAATGATGGTTTTGAGCCTTTTGGGTTCGTTAGGCTGCGTAAAGTCTTATCTATAGTTTAGGTTGATTTAGCTTGATTTACGCCGTGTACTTCGCATAGTTGGGTAAAACTGATCATAACCCAACATATAGCTAACGAAAGATGTATATGAACCTGGGAATATTGGTTAAGAGAAAAATGAACCGACAGTGAAAGTTTGGAAAGCAGAGAGTGAAATTGAATTTCAGTTTTCATTTCCTCGACAATTTAGTATATCGAAGTATTCAATAGTTTGGAAGAAACCGACCGACAGAAAAATCGTCCTTGGTATTCTAGTTGATGAAGCCTTCTTTATATGGCTAATTTCCTAAGTGCAAAATTGAAGCGATTTTTAAGTTTCACACGCTGAATATTCACTTGATAACTCGACAAACTGCCTTTGAATACTACAGACCACATCTAATCGAAATGGGCTTCAAAACCAATCTCTATCTTCTGTCTCTTCTTAGTATATTAGAATTCATAATTAGAATTATTTCGGTAAGATTGATACGAAAGCGCTCCATTTTTTCGTGGCGCGAGCGAACCACAAGTTTGCTGAACGATAATTTGCGGCTCGGTCGGATTAGCTGTGTCACCATTGTCGGTCACACTCGCGCTTGTTTTCTCGTCTTTTGGTATTCCAATTACGACACGTGACAAAAGATGGTACTGCTGATATATATAGTTGAACTAAATAGAAAATGGCGTCTAACCAAAACACTTTCCTCAATACTACAGACATCGCATAACAGTACAGTAACAACTGAGAACAACACGGTTCGAAAATCAATCTTATCTGTAAAAATAACAACCACAGTGGTAACAAAAGCTATGAATTATGAAACATTTCACAATAAATGATATTCTAGTAGTTCATGTATTTATCTTAGTCTGGTCTACTACGTATGGAATATGTATGTACCTTACCGTTGATACGTGGTCTATTTTTGACCTGTATACGATGCCGACAAACAACGAAAGAGCGATGATATATTTTGTAAAAATTACAGTAAAATGTACCAATAGGCCAAACAGTGTACACGATGAAATTGCTCTGTAATAATACACCACTGCAAATAAAATTACGACTGCGCGAGCAGAAATATTTACGTGGTTTTATACGCAAGAGCTCAGGAATCTGACGCAGCCCTGACGGTACAACACAAACAGTAACGGCGACAGGTTACCAGACGTAAGAATGTCGTCGGCTTCCATACAGCATAAAAAGTTGTTTGTAATTATAACCACTTCTCCCTATGGTTTACGACTAATGCCTACAAAGCAAGCGTAATACAAATATAACGTAAACATGATAGTAAAGCTAATTCATATAACAGTTTCTGTCTGAATGCAACAAAACTTCTGCAACAAAACTTCACACAACCTTTCACAACGAAGACAGCTGGTTTCGTTCAAAAAATTAAATTCCGCGCCTCAGATAATTATCGTCCCATACATGCCTGAGGATAAGTTACGCAAGCGGATGCATCAAATTCAACCACGCTAAAATTGATGATATATTAATTTTTCTTAAAACAAATTGAAAGTAAGTGAAATTTTGTCGCAAACAGACATAAATAGCTTACATTTGGTTCCAATCTAGAGACAATATTTACAAGAAAAACAAACAGCCTCAAATATTAATAATGATATATCATAATTATTGTTTTAAAGAACAATGCTATCATATTGTATTGACGTGTATTATTTTACCATTATCATTATCTGTCTCTGCGATGTATTATTTTAACAAAGCCGATCAAAAGACTTTTAAACTTTGGATAATCTGACCGCAAAGATTAATATTTCATCTAAAGCTATTAATAACTATACAAGTCACAATTATCTACCGGTACATTAGAACGGATAGTGCTGTATACTTATAACACGATAAATTTGAAAATTTGCACAGACCATCAGTGGACATATAGGGGAAAGTGGGGAAGGTTGGGACACTTTTTTTCTTTTGCAAATTTTGAGCCGTTAATTCTGCATATTCTCTTAAGTTTGCGGGACTAATGCATAGAGGGGTAAATGTAGTTTTTATTCAGCAACAAAGAAATTCCCTTGCGACACACATCTTACTACCAAAATGCTTTGAAAAACGTCTGTCAAGTGTCCCACTGTACCCCACTTGTGGGGCACAATCGGACAGACCCTGGGGCACAATGGGTCAGTCTGTCAAAATTCAACGAAGTATGCCCTTAAAAATAAGCAATTAATCAGCATAATCGTCTAAAGTACGGGGGGACTTCGAATTTGAAAATTCAATATTTTTAAAATCAATGTTCAACTGAAATTGTCCAGATATTTTGACAAAACATTTTGCAAAAAAATTTGATTATTTCCTTCCTCGAATCTAAATCTGGAAATATTATTGATTCTCGAATATATTCCATATTGGGCCATGGGTCGAAAGAAACCATAATATTACACAAAATATAACGCATCTCTAAGTCTCTAAGCACTTATTGTATCAAACACTGTCGAATTGTGCCCTGTAGAGCATGTCCCACTGAACCCCGGTCCATTGTTCCCCATAGGAAACAAATATTTTCAGACCATCCCACGGCAAAATTCGGGAGGCACAGCCACTCGCTAACGTTAGGAATATTTTACAGTGGACTGACGCTAAAGAATATCAGACGATGGTTTGTCTCGTTGGAAAGGCTAAACTAAAAAAAAGAAAAAACTGGAACGGTGAAATTTTTTTTTCAACCTTCCAAAACCAATTTCACCCCATAGCTTGCGCCGCTCTACCCGTCCGTTGTCCGGTCGCGGGGACGTTGTAACTCACCGAAGGGCGGATTGGAACATCGAGCCGCGGACAGGATTGCGGATATAGTATCAGTGTGATAGCTGATTTTCCACTGTGCCCCATGTCCCAACGTACCCCACCTTCCCCTAGCCTGCGGTATATAATATATAAATGGACAACTAACTAACTAATTGTATAACTCAAATCTTCAAAAAATGAGATTCCAGAATTGAGACTCGATTTTCCAATTGTATGTTCAGAACGCAATTTTAAGGTTTTATTTTAGCCTATTTCAAAGCAAGCTTTATGTTAAGTTTACTGCATATATTTCCTAGAAATATTAGATTCATATCCAGGCGTGGTATATTATTTTCAATGCCATGTATGAAAAATATTATTACTCTGACCATTAAGGCCAGTGAGTGATAAATTCTCCTTTTCTATTCAACCACCATAACAGGCTAGCGTGACAGGCTGGTCTCGGGCACAGAGTTCACAACAGTGCAAAAAACCACAGGACCCTCGAAATACAGCTGATTATACTCAAATAATATTCTAAGACTTTAGGCTCGAAGCTTTCATAACAAACAAAAATATACGAATTCAACTGATATTTACTAGTAATTCGTTCCCCACACTTCCTTAAAACATCTTACATCACATTCCCTCGTGAGTTAAGCTACAATCTATTGCAGGTCTTCATGCTTCATGTGGCAAAAATGCCATTCAGGACGAAAATACTGCAGCAACCAAGTTGAAATACTAAGTTTATTCAATGTATTATGTATTATTATTGGCTGGTCCTCATAATACACTTTAACACGCTTATTTACCTCGGCGAAAACATTTTGCGGCTGCCTTGTTGACTTTTTTCAAAAGATTCAAATCTGATTATTTTAGCCGCAAGGGGTTTCCTTTACCGCGAAGTTTTAAGAATTTAAAACTCGTAGTGCCGGAGCTTTGTCTGGAAAATTAATAAAATGAGATAGCTTGTTTGTACAAGAAATTATGAGATATTGTAAATTACACAATCCGTATGTTATTCTTCACCTTATAATAGGTTTATGATAACCCTAACTCGTCTCAAATAGATTATTTGACGGCGGTGATCACAAAGTTAATCCGTATTATAATACTGTATGTAATTCAGTTGATTTCATAAAATAGAATTTATAACTTTTATAAATGGCGTTTCGTTTCTCATACCCACGCGGAAAAATCCGCAAAGTGTCTGCATCGGTAAGAAATTCACTTTTACCAAGAATGAGAACTTGTTAGTACAAGATTCTGGCTAGACTAAAGCACAGAAAATCATCATTAACGCCATATTGGGAGAATTGCCACACAAATGATAAGAATGATTCTAGAAATTGAATTTTGACAATAAAAACTTTCCAATTTATTAAATAAATGAACCAAAACCAGTATTTGTTATTACAAACCGTTTCAATACAAAAATTACTCTGTAGTTTCGAGCTAGAGCGAGTATTCACAGGAAATTGATTTCACCGCGTGAAGGACACACTTCGTCTATCAATCAATCCATATACCCGCGTACATAACCAATCAAGCGCATATGGTCGAGGTTAGGATCTTCATAAAAATACCATTTATACTGAACAAATGCGTGTGTTGAAACGAAACTGAATAAATTTTGTATTGA